GAAGACAATCAAGACTTTTGGCTATTGTGTCAATCATTGGATCAATTGAGTGATGAAACGTATGGATCGGTTGGACATCACATGAAGACTGAATTTGAAGACCAAATGAAGAGTCCATCAAATGATCGACAAATGAGACAAAGATATGAAACACAAGAAGTGAATCAAAGTATTGATGACAACAGCGATGGCGTGAATGAAGACATGTTTGTCAATACGTATGACAGCAATGGTCTGGAGTTGGGATCAGTTATCAGAGAAGAACCGGAAGATAATTGTGTGAATATAAACATCAGTTCAATGATTAACGAAATGTATTCACTATTGAACAGCACTTCAAAGCCATCGACAGCTCAATCATCACAAGAGATGGTAAACAAAGACATTAAAGGGAAGAGTAGTGAAGAATCAAATGAACAACATATGAGAACCACACAAGAAGTGATGCCAACAATGTATGACACAATTCAATGCTCTGAAGGCGTGTCTGTGTTTCGATGTCTTGTCAGCGATTGTCTGATGATATTTACCACAGAAGAGTGTTTGCATAAACACTTGGATTTACATACGACTGATCCGACCATTGAGTGCGGAACCGATGGCTGTATTGATATGTTTCACACGAGAAACCAATTGAACAGACATTGGCTAAAGACTCATAGCATGAATGCGAGTGATTGTAAGTATTTAAGTGATAATCAGATGACAGACTCGACGGATAAAGTGTTGAGATGTGATGTCAATGGATGTGATTATCACACCTGTAATGAAAGTATTTTCAAAGATCACGTGATTCGACACAAAAATGTTTTCCCAACTGAGGATACGTTGAAGAGTCCATCAAATGATCAACAAAACAGACCATTAGTTCATAAACTAGAAGTGAATCAAAGTATTAATGATAACAACAATGACATGAATGAAGACATGTCTGTAAATAAATATTTATTAAAATCAATGACAGAAAAAATACAGAAATTATTGAACAGCACTTCAAAGCCATCGACATCTCAATCATCACAAGAGATGGTAAACATTGACTTGACTGAAGAGAGTAGTGGACATCACATTACCACTGGATTTGAAGACCAAATGAAGAGTCCATCAAATGATCAACAAATGAGACAAAGATATGAAACACAAGAAGTGAATCAAAGTATTGATGACAACAATCACGTGAATGAGCACATGTTTGCCATCAATGGTCTTGAATTGGGAACAGTTATCAAAGAAGAACCCGAAGATTACTCTATGGAACCGATTAATACACAACTCATTAATAAATCCTCAATAGGTTTAATGAATACAGAAATGCAAACACAAGTGAACAGCACTTCAAAGCCATTGACATCTCAATTATTACAAGACCTGATAAACCAAGACATGAATCGAAATCGTATTGAATCGATGGAAATGCTATCAAATGAATTGATGTCTAAATTCTTGCGACAAAATAAATCCGAAAGAAAGAAATGCTTTGATTTGTTGACAAAAACATTTATTTGTCCCATAAATAAGTGCCACAAGAGTTATGAGACAGATTTCTGCTTTACAAAGCATTTGTTAAAAGTTCACGCCTCAAGACATTACGTGTGCACTCATGAGGGCTGTGGTAAAGGTTTTAAGACAAATTACAACTTAAGAACACATCAATTGATTCACAATACTATCAAATCATTTCATTGTCCACACAATGGCTGCGAATTTAAAGCCATTTGTGATGAATATTTGAAACAACATTTGACAACACATTCAACGGATAATGTCTTGAGATGTGATGTCAATGGATGTGATTATTACACCTGTAATGACAGCAATTTGAAAAGACACGTGAATATAGGACACAAAACAAGTAAATCATTTCAAATAACATCAAATTTGAAGACACACTCAACAGTCATAACAGATAGAGTTAACACATGTCCTGTCAGTGACTGTCAGACACACTCGAGCCGACGGTTTAGTTGTGGTGTTAATGACTGTCCGATGATATTTACCACAAGAACTCAATTGCGTGAACACTGGAAACTACATGAGACGGAGCCGACCATTGGGTGCGGAACCGATGGCTGTATTGATATGTTTTACACTGAAAGTCAGCGATACAGACATCAGATACAGATTCATAAGATTAGAGATGATAATCAAGACGTGAATCAAAGTATTGATGACAATAACGCTCAGAACCGAAGGCCTAATCATTCAGACCGGAAATATGTGTGCACTCATGAAGGCTGTGGTAAAGCATTAACAAGAAAACACGATTTAAAAAGACATCAATTGACTCACAAAACAGTCAAATCATTTCATTGTCCACACAATGGGTGTCAATACAAAGCCATAAGTGATCGCTATTTGAAAGAACATCTGAAGACACACTCAACAGACAGAACAGATGGAGTGAATATATGTCCTGTCAGTGACTGTCAGATGGCATTTAAGGCGAAGAATGAGTTGAATGTCCGCCGTTTGACACACGGGTCCGGACCGGCCATCAAGTGTGGGACCAAAGGCTGTAATGAAATGTTTTATACGTTTTCCCAACGCCTGAGACATCGGGTGTCGGTTCACAACCGACGGACGCATAGCTATCGCAGAGGAAAACAATGGTTTGAATGGAAGGGGAAAACAGAGACACAAGAAGTGATGCAAACAATGGATGACAACAATACACACAATAATTTAATTAATACAGGAATGGAAACACAAGTGAACACCACTTCAAAGTCATCGATATCTCAATCATCACTAGAGATGACTAATGAAGACATGTCTAGAATGAGTGGTGAGAAACAATCGGTATCTGAATTACTAAAGTATAGGCAACAAAGAGAGAAATGCTTTGATTTAACCACAAATGCATTCATTTGTCCCATAAATGAGTGCCACAAGAGTTATGGAACTGATCTGAGTTTTTATAATCATATGACAAAATGTCACGGCAAAAGACAATACGTGTGCACTCATGAGGGCTGTGGTAAAGGATTCAGACAACGCTATAATTTAAAACGACATTTATTAACACACAAAGTAATCAAATCATATCATTGTTCACATAATGGCTGCGAATATAAATGCGTTGATATTATATATTTGAGAAGACATGTGAAATACAAACATAACTTTATAACAGACAATGTGTTTAAATGTGTTTTCAATGGCTGTAAGTATCAAAGTCTCAGTGAAGGCGGTTTCAAATTTCATATGAAGAAACACTCCGTAGATATAGTCTATACGTGTGGTGTCGACGACTGTCCCGTAGTGTTCAAGACATACTATGCTATGCATTCACATCAACGCACACAACACGGGTCCGTACAGACCGGTCACTACCCGACCGACCAATCAGTCCATCAATCCTGTAATCAAGGGTTGAATGAAGACATAATTGACAAATCGTATGACAGCAATGGTCTGGAATTGGGATCAATGCAGAGGTCAGTTGATAATTGTGTGGAACCAATGAATACAGACATGAGTTCAACGACTAATGAAATGCAGACACATGTGAACAGCACTTCAAAGCCATCGACTTCTCAATCATCACAAGATATTGTGAACATAGACTTGAATGAAGAGAGTAGTGAAGACTCGATGCAAATGACATCAAATCAAATGATGTCTCAATTGTTGCGACAAAATAAGACCCACAGATGTAAATACTTTGATAGGACTCTCAAAACATTCATTTGTCCCATAAATAAGTGCCACAAAAGTTTTCTAACGGACGCATACTTTACGGCACATTTGAGAAATACTCATATTTAAAAAAAACACATTTGTAATTATGAGGCTGTGATAAAGCATATAAGACAAAGTACAACTTAAGTATACATCAATTGATCCACACAAATGTTAAATCATATCATTGTCCACACAATGGCTGCGAATTTAAAGCCATTTGTAATCACTATTTGAAAATACATGTGAAGTCACACAACGGATAAAGTCTTGAGATGTGATGTCAATGGATGTGATTTTCATAGTTTTAATAGAAAGTCTTTTAATTATTACTGCCAATCATTTGATAAAATTAATTAAACACTGAATATCTAAGTGAATATGAATTTTACATTTTTATAAATTAAATGTTTTATTTAATTTTGTAATTAAATGTTTTATACGTTTGTATTGTCCGATCGGTCCTTACAATTGAGAATCAATCCCATAAAAGGCTTGCGATTTGTATAATTAAAAATTGATTTTAAAACATATAATAAATTATATTAATTAAATTTTTAACATAAATTTTCAAATTATTTAATTAATTTCATTATAAATTATGAGAAATAATTTTAATCATTATTGAAATGTAATATAAAATGTTTACGTAATTCAAAGACAATCCCTTCACTTCTCAATTGAGTTGAGTTTTGTTGACATTTTTGTGATTCAATTGTTGTTTAGTTTTGCACTTAATTTGTATTCAAATCAATTGTGAATTAGTTTTAAATGTGATTTTGAATTCAATTATGGATTCAATTATTTATATAAACGATATTTTGGATGAATTAATGAATGAAAACAATAGACTTTTACATGAAATCCAATGTTTGAATGTAATTGTGAATTAGTTTTAAATGTGATTTTGAATTCAATTATGGATTCAATTATTTATATAAACGATATTTTGGATGAATTAATGAATGAAAACAATAGACTTTTACATGAAATCCAATGTTTGAATGAAATGAAAACACATTTATTTAAAATTCACTCAAAATATGAAACACTTATCGATTCAGAAGACAATCAACACTTCCGGACATTATCTCAAACTTTAGATCAATTGAGTGATGAAACGTATGGATCGGTTGGACATCACATGAAGACTGAATTTGAAGACCGACTGAAAAGTCAATCAAATGATCGGAAATTAAGACAAAGATATGAAACACAAGAAGTAAATCAAAGTATTGATGATAACAGCGATGGCGTGAATGAAGACATGTTTGACAATAAATATTCATTAAATTCAATGACTGATGAAATGCAGACATTAATAAACAGCACTTCAAAGCCATCGACATCTCAATCATCACAAGAGATGGCAAACAAAGACATGAATAGAAAGAGTAGTAAAGTCTCGATAAAAATGACGTCAAAGCAATCGATGTCTCAATTCTTGCGACAAAATAAGTCCGAAAGAAAAAAAATGTTTTGATTTAACCAAAAATGGATTTATTTGTCCCATAAATAAGTGCCGCAAGAGTTGTAAGAGTTATCCGACGGACGCATACTTTGTGCAGCATTTGATGAGAACTCATAGATTAAAACAATACTTCTGCACTCATGAGGGCTGTGGTCAAGCATTTAAGATTAAGCGCAACTTAACTACACATGAATTGATTCACAATACCGTCAAACCATTTCGTTGTCCACAGAATGGCTGTCAATACAAATGCATTAGTGATGACTATTTGAGAGCACATCTGAAGAGACGGCACAATATCGATAAGAAGAGGACACCAATGGATCGCACGGATAGAGTGGCCATTGAATCGGAACCACTGATCAAAGACACGAAATTCTTTACGTTAAACACTTCGGAAAGAAATCGATGCTTTGATCCGAAGGCGAAGACCTGGAAGTGTCCGGCGATTGAGTGCCAGAAGGCATACAAAACGCGTAAACAATTGAACCAACATTTAAATACCGTTCACAGAGAACCCCGATTTAAATGCCATTACGATGGCTGCGAAAAGATCTTTTCTACCCGTCCCGGTCTGGACATCCATATACTGATCCATAAAAATATTAGACGATTTAAATGCGATTACAAAGACTGTGTTTTTAGAGGCGTTACCAGTGGTGCTCTGACCACACATATGGTCACACATGTGACAGACAAACAAGTGTTTCAATGCCCGGCCGACGGGTGCGGCAAATGGTTTAAAACTCGCGCCGTGTTAGCCGTACACTCGCGGACACATCTGAGCGAACCGTCGTTCCGGTGCGGCGCCGATGGATGCGATGCTATATTTTTTAATAAGAATCAAAGAATCAAACATCAGGTCTGTGTCCACAATAGGAAATATAAGAGTCCGAAACCGCATCGAAAGCAACGGTGCGATTGGCCCGGATGTGAGTATTCGGGAATTGGTATTATTAGTCATAAACGCAAACATACGGGAGAGCGACCACATGTGTGCGTTTGGCCCGATTGTGGTAAACGCTATGGAAATAAACTCCGATTGAGAGATCACATGAATATGCATAACAATGTGCGCCCATATGTGTGTCAATGGCCCGGATGTGAGTACACGACTACCGGTGCCTCCTATTTGTTTAATCATAAGAAGTTTGTTCACAAAATGTAATGATTATTTTAATTCAAATGTTAATATATTATTTAATCAATTATTAATAATTACTTTTTGTTTAAAGATTTCTATTACTTGGCTATAAATTTAATGATTATATTTATTGTAATATTTTTATGTAATTAATATGTTTTAGTTTAAATAATAAATAAATCATTTAGTATAATAAAAAGCATATAATTAATATGATGTGCATTTTGTTGAATTAATACAAGTTTAGTGAATGTAATTTATAAACCGGTTATAGAAAATGTTTACGTAATTAATAGACAATCCCTTCACTTGTCATTTGAGTTGAGTTTTGTTTACAATTTTGTGATTCAATTGTTGTTTAGTTTTGCACTTAATTTGTAATCAAATTAATTGTGAATTAGTTTTAAATGTGATTTTGAATTGAATTATGGATTCAATTATTTATATAAACGATATTTTGGATGAATTAATGAATGAAAACAATAGACTTTTACATGAAATTCAAT